CAGAAACGCACAGTCGGAGCGCCGTCCTGAAAAGGACGTGCTGCACGACTGCGTTGCTCTTTCTGTGAAGTTTGCAACTTTATACGCACCGCTCTGAAGGACCGGACTCAAAGAACGCCAGGCAAGGGAGAAACCCAGCTCGACCGTCTGCCGCTGCGTGTACACACTCTGGACCGGGAGAATGCTCTCGTTTGCTCAGAATCGCTGGTCACAGCAGGAGGAACCCTCATCGACTCGATCTGAAAGTCTCTGAAGCAAAAAGGATGGCGTTTGCTCGCTCCAGGTGTGCTTATATGCTGGGATAATTGGCAATGAAGCACACCTGTGCAAGCTTACGCTGCCAATTCATTGCATTCATTGGCCCGTTCAATACTCTTTCAGACAAGCGGCTTCTGAACCGAATCCTCCCATTTCATGGATTTTCACAAAGATCAAATCCACTTAATAGCACTGAAGTTCCCCAACTACTTTCTTCCACCTTGGATTCAAATCATAAGCTGACAGTTAAACAGTTGAGCAAGCATCTTTTAAACTTTAGATCTGTAGTGTCTGCTTTTTGCTGGTTGTATGTGGGCGGAGTAATACACAAAGGGTAAAGAGGCTGTACCGGTGCTGATATTACTTAAATATATCACGGCTATCAGACAGAACTGTTGTATATATATATAAGAAAAAAGAAATATGAAAAGAAAAGTTTTTTTTTTTCCTTGAATGTGTGAAATTAAATTCAGGTTGTCAGTTTACTAGGATATTTAAGTTAGTTGTAAATTAATGAGCTTTCACAAATTGGTCCCTTTACTACACACTCAACTTTAATTTGTTAACACCGTCTGAAGAGAGATGACACATCTGAAGAAAACTGGATCCAACACTCCATAGCAAAAGCATGCTGTCGCCCATGTGTTTTGTTAGCCATCACCAAGGTTAAGGTTAATAATAACATTTTAATTATCAGCATACAATCTACAGAATATGGTAAATGTGAATCTCCATATTTTGTATTCTATTATGACAATTTTCACCGTTAAGCACTGGGTGAAGAAAACGTTGAACAGAAAAAAATATTGAAAATGAAAAGAAAATTAGTGTTTCTATAGGAGCAGCCATACCTCTATGAGTCAGAGACTAAACTGAATTGAGAAGCCCCTCAGGTTCAAGGTTGGAGAGTGGAGTAATTTGTCATTTTCTCTAAATGAAATCTCAGTACAATTTAATCAGGTGCAGCTGAGCAAGCCTGCAGTAACTTTAAACACAGTATTTGCCATAGTGTCCATACTTGCAACCCTTGTAAACTGATAACAATATTATCTTATGACATAAACATTTCAGAATCCAAAGCTATTTTACATTTAACAGTTTAGTTTAACTATTAATTAAAATAAAACAAGTTCTCAGTTCAAGCTTGTATTAAAGTCTGAACTGAACTTGATTATATTGTACATACAACTATTTAGTTTTTTTCTTTTCTTTTGCACATGGACACTGTGCAGTTTCAGTTGTATTAACACTGTTTTGTCATTGCTTTTGTTGTTAGATATAGTAAATTTTACTTTTATGCCATTTGAGATACGTTGCAAAAAGCAGGTGTGGGTTTATTACCCAGGTAAATTTGTGTTTAGACAGGGTTTTTAATGCACTTTTTTTTCAGTAAAGTGTTCATATAGGTTTAAACTGTCAAGTGATATTAGTAATAGTTTTATATTTGAATAAGAATGTACATATTCATTTGATTTGTTTTAATATATAAAGCTTTCAAAATGACTTCCAAATGTCTTTCAAGCTGTTAGAGAACTTACAGTACATTATTATAATCAGTTGATAGATTTGTACTGATGTAATAATATTTGAAGTTGCCTTCTTAAACTTTTGCTGTGTTTTTTTTTTTTGATATTATAAATCTGATAATGATATTTCTTAATCTCTCTCGCAAGAAATGACTCAAAATGACTCTGTGTGTCGTGTGATTGGCTGTTTCCCACACGTGTCAGATTTTCAGGTAAGATCTAAGAGTTAAATTATAAATGGGTTAAACCCAGAGGTACCAGAGAAAGTTTACATCATGCATTGGTAGAATTTGTTTAGTTTATCAACCAGCAACTCATTTTGGCCTCTGAAGGTAAATTTTAATTTTGTACTCAAAATTACAAATTCAAAAAAAATAAAAAATAAAAATAAAAAACAGACTATTACAGCCTTTGTGTACCAAGTATCAGGGGATCTGTTTGGTTTCGCAATGTGAATATGCTATTAAAATGATTGTATGAAGATCTATGTTGTTTACGTTTATGCTTTTTACATGGCATACAGTACACTTTAAAAACATAGCTAAATTCATTGCATTGTTCGAGCAAAACTTTAAAAATGTCCATTACTTTTCGATTTCCAATGGGTTGTTGCCTGAATTCATTGTTCTGTAACAATTCAGTTGTAAACTTGTATTTGCTTTCTAAATTCCATACTTTTTTATTTTTTTTAGCGGTGTTGTGAAATCACTGTGTTTTAAAATAAACTAGAACCTAAAGTTTGTTGACAAACTTTGATGTTGGCTTGAGAAAGTTCGGATGGGTTCAAGCTTAATTTCTATCATTTTAGATGGGGTTGGGCCAGGCTCGTGCTTCCCAGTAAATGAACAGTCATGTGATGCATTTTGATTAGCGTTAGAAAGTAATCAAATCCTTTGTTATTACATTAAAATCCATCCCTGCAAAGATAAAACAAATGATGACGAGAAGTCAAAAAGAGCGAATTTTGACTGCGGTCAGGCCAGCCGCCAGTTCAAAAAGAGCAGTCATTCTAGCCACCAAGGTATTTCGGCTGTCACTCATACACTGCATATTATGGTAGAGCGCTAAACTGCAATGTACAGCAATGTACAGCATGAACAGCAAGCTGACAGGGAAAATAACAAGGTCACTCGCTATATTGACAACGCTGTCAAGGACAGTGTAAAGTTCCTGCACAAAAACATGTAGTCTACTCTTGGTGAGTAAAGGATTTTCAAATTCTATCTAAATATTAATTAAACCATAAATGCATAATGTAGACAGAGTATCAGTGGTGGATAGGGATGTAACAATATTGTAAATACCGTCATACCGCAATAGTAATTTTTTTCCCTAGGCGCATGACTCAACCATCAGCATAGGCGTAGCCATCATCCTTTGCGGTCTGTTGTCACTACCCAGACAGCACACATACGTTGGGCCGACGTCGTGCCGATTTTCAAAATTCCATCGGTGCGATGTCGCTCAGGGAGCGTTTGCTAATTGGCAAAATGTCGCCGCGACGTCGGCAAATGATCGGACACGCTGTCCGGCCGACGTTAGGACGACGCAACCGGAAATACCGCCCGCTCCGCGGAGGCGCTGTTCTCAGGCGTTTTGCTCATACTTATGGACCACTAGCTGCAGCAGCTGCTTATTTATAATAAACACGACACATCACTCTCAATAACAGTTGAAGATTTATTAATATTTTCACAAACATACAAATAGATTAACATACTTTTATACACATAACCATGTTTTACCACGTTTAAAATAAAACCAACAAGTTGTACTATAACCATGGCTGAACTACTGTGCAATAAAGATTTTAAATACAAAGTCCATTGCAGCATTTACATTAAGACCATAGAAATATTTACAACCCTGCTGAAAAATCCAGCTTAAACCAGCCTAGGCTGGTTTAAGCTGGATTTTTTAGCAGGGAAGTACTTCAAAACATGTACACTAAGGGTGACTATAGTTTACTATAGTAAAAACACAATTAACTTGTGTAAGCACATGTTATAATGCTTATAATTTCTTAAATAGTGTTGAAGATGCATGTTTCCAAATATAATTTTAAAATACAAGATAATACCAGTCATGTGTTCAGTATCCAAAAGACTTTCTTCAGGGAGTTACAATAATAAAAGAGGACACAAACACAAAATAAATACCAAGCAAACAATATTTACAGTAGTAAATAAAATCATACAAATTAAAATAATTGTCTGATAAAATCTTATTA